ACAGCAGAAATGCTAATTTAATACATAAGTAACATAATAACATAGGAACTACACTACTCAGCTTTACTTATCGGCGGCAATATCCCCTGGCCCGTAAATGAGTCCGGCTTGACGAGTTTACTCCCAGAAGAGCCGACGTCTAACACTGCGATCTTGGTAGCTGGGCGGTGTAGTATTCCTGAAGTAGTTTTCACTTCCGCGCTGCGCACCTGTCCGTCTTTGGCTGTCACAATACGAATCACCTTACCTCTCGGCCAGCAATTCCTTGGCAAATTTTCGTCGACTATGACGACAATATCTCCAACACGTATCGGTGGTACCTTATTAAACCATTTGCTACGTCTAGAGATGATGGGTACGTACTCCTTAACCCATCTGTGCCAGAATCTGTCAGCGAACTTTTGGGTCTGGTACCAACGTTTTCTTAGGTCTAATTCGTCGGTACACACGGGTTTGAAGCCATCCGGCGAACCCAGCAGAAGGTGATTTGGCGTAATAGCATCGTCGTCGTCTGATTCGAGTGAAACGAAAGTTAAGGGGCGTGCATTTATGATGTATTCTACTTCGCATAAGCTACTTTTGAGGCTTTCGTCGTTGAAGTTTGCATACGGCATAATATTGTACAAAACAGATTTGACAGACCGCACGAGCCGTTCCCAAGCCCCTCCCATATGAGGCGCTGCTGGCGGAATGAACTTCCAGCTGATCTGGTCGAATGTTGACATAAGTAGTGAAAAATCTACCTCTTTCATCTCCGCGCATATGATCTTTTTCGCAGCTTTGAAATTCGTGCCGTTATCGGTGAAGATTTGTCGTGGGTAGCCACGGCGAGCTACAAAATTTCTGATCGACATAACGCAAGAACTTGTATCCAGGCTGTGCGCAATTTCCATATGAATAGCGCGCAGTGTTAGACAGGTGAATAAAACAAGAAGAACGTCGCAACTGCTCTATATAAGCGTTTCCAATCCGAGAAATATTCTGTGTCCAGCGATAAACTTTTTTGAATTACCCTGTCTATTTGCAGCACGTAACGTTTTAGTTCGACTTGGTCGATTTCGTCGCCTTTGAACTCTTTGCAATGAGGCCACTCATTCGATTGAGATAGTAAAAACTGTGGACCAGAGAACCACATCTTGTAGTTAAGCTCAACTGAACTTTTCGTGGCTAAGTCGGCCGGGTTCTCTTTCGAAGGTACCCAATCCCATTGGGATACATTTGTGGACTCTAAAATTTCTCCGACTCGATGCATAACATACGGTTTGAAGTTCTTCGGGTCCATTCGCAACCACCTTAGAACCGTCTTCGAGTCCGTCCAAAAATAGTGTTTTGTTATGGGTATGCGTTGAACATTAAGTACTGCACCTGCTAGTCTTACTCCTACGAGTGCGGCCTGAAGCTCTAGTCTAGGTATAGACAATGGCTTTAGAGGCGAGACCTTTGATTTCGCGGCAACGAGTGCAACGGAGATGCCATTAGTATGCTCAACACGGAAATAGCACACAGCTGAATATGCGTTTTCGCCAGCATCCACAAACATGTGAAGTTGAACCTCCTTCGCATGTTGTAAAAACTCTGAATTGCAGCGAGGAATTTTCGCTGTCTTTATAACTTCAATATTTGACTTCCAATGGCACCATTTTTCATATAAATCTATGCTTAGGGGTTCATCCCATCCAATATCAGATCGCCAAATATCTTGGAGAAGGATTTTAAGCCCTATAGTGAAGCAACTTATAAGTCCGAGCGGGTCAAAAATTGACATGAGTACTTGAAGTATCTCTCTTTTTGTCGGTACGATCGAGTTGTTTACGACATCTCGGCGTAATCGCATAAATCTGCAAATATATCTAAACGAATCGTTAGCTGAATCCCAAAACATACCTAATATTTTTGCCGCAGATCCCCACTCTTTCGGGCCTTGAATTTCTGCCGCATCTCCACGTAGTTGTTCGAGGACGAACTTGGAGTTGGAGGTCCAGCTATGTATGTTAAAACCGGCAGATGCATGAATTTGCTTAACTTGCAGAGCTAATTCTAAAGCTGCTTGCTCGTTGTTTTCACTATCTATAAAATCATCCACATAGTGATGTTTTTGGATCGCTTCTACCGCTCGTGGAAAATCTTCTTCAAAACAGCTCGCATTTTTATCGCGCACAAAATGCGCAATGTAAGGAGCGCAGCTCGTTCCGAATGCTCGCATGACGTAAATGTTCGGTTGTTTTGATTCTTCATCGTTGTCCCACCATAAAAATCGCTGAGCATGTCGGTCGCTTTCTCTGACTTTGATACGGTGAAACATCTCGGAGATGTCACCGCATATGGCTACTTTACCTACTCTAAACGCCAACAATATCTCGAACAGTGAATTGAGCATATCTGGACCAGTAAGCAGGAAGTCGTTTAGCGATACCCCTTTGGCCTTCGCTGCAGCGTCCCAAACTAAACGTACCTTTCCCGGTTTATTTGGGTTCGTTACTACGAATATGGGAAGATACCATACTTTTTCCCTTTCCATGTGAAGTTCAGGTGTGCTTAGTTTTTCAGCATAACCTTTTGATACTAGATTGTTAATTTGCTGCTGAATTTCTGCTCTCAAATTTGGATCTCGAGCACACTTCCTCTTGAGACATATGGCTCGGTTAAGCGCGTTTGAGTAACTGTCTGGTAGAGATACATTTGGATCTCGCCATGGCAAACCAATCTCGTAAAAACCATCAACCTTGCGACATGTGGCATTCATTAAGTCTACGGCCGTTTGATCTTCTGCAGATAACAAATTTGATGCGTCCGGTGACTCCAATCTGAAGAACTCCTTTACTCTCTCATGTAATTCTAGGTAGCCCTTCTGGCAGTCACAATAGTGAACGTTGAGTCGGAAGTCAAAAATGTGATCGTTCTGACCGCCTTGAACTGTCCAGCCTAGACGCGTTTTCGAAGCGATTGGCTGCATCCACGCTCCCTCTTTTACTTTTAAAGGAACAGCTAATTTCCAGTTCTCAGCGCCAATGAGTAACGATGGTTTCACTTTATTATAAGATTCGATTGGCAAACCGTTCAAGTGCGGATATTTTTTAGCTATTGTTTCAGCATCGATCGACTGCTCAGGTAAGTCGAGGGCGTTGACAGTATGCACACCATTCAATTTATATGTACGCCTATTGGTAGCATTCGAGATCTTGATTGTTGCTCGCACTGATTCATTTTCGGAGCGTGTCGTGTTACCAGTCCACCGTAGACATATAGGATCATGTGTACCTTTAAGGCCAAGTTCATCAAATAAATTCTTATCGATTAATGTTACTGCTGAACCTTCATCTAAAAAGGCGAAAACTTTTACCATTTTCCCGTTTGCATGTATAAAAATTGGGACGATCCTAAAATATGGTTGTTTCCCGACAGCGCTGTGGCTATGGGTGTTTACTTGGGCGTCCGATTGCGGGAGCATATCAGACTTCGTAGCTTGTCGGTTCGAGATTAACGAGACGTTTGTCTTATGAAGTAACTTGTGGTGCTTTATAGTACAGCCGTCTATACCGCACACCTTTTCCACAAAACACCTGCGCTTATGTGTACCCAGGCACTGTCGGCAAAGACTGTTTGATTTTACAGTGTCCCACCGACGATTTAATGGGAGATTTTTAAAAACGCTACATTGCGATACATTATGATCGGAACCTTTGCAACAGCAACACAATTTGTTCTGGAAAAGGGTTCTATCAACCTGGTGTACTTCGTCCTGCGACGCAACGGTGTGAGTGTTCATTACTGAACTACCTCTGGTTGGCGTAAAAGATACGACCATGCTAGCAGCTTCAGCAAGTTTGTAAAGCCAGTCGCTGAATAATTTAACAGCAGGGATTGCATTGTCTTTAGGAGTCATCGCCCAGTTGAGTTTTTGATTATTCGGAAGTTTGTCGACTAATTCTTTGACGAGAAGTGGGTTGTGTAAATGTGCATACATCTGACATCCTTCCATAGTTGTACAAATATTCTTCACGCATAAGGCGAAATCTATCAGTGATTCTAATTTATCTTTAATAGGAGGCATTGCGCGAGCCCTATTCATTGCACGTTCAAGAATCTGCTCAGGTCTACCGAAACACATCTTTAGCGTTTGGATTATGTCGGCAACCATAGATGGCAAAAATAATTTATTTTTCACTATGTCACGAGCCTTACCTTTGAGACAAGCTTGCAAACGAATGAGGTTCTCCGCGTCTGAGTATCCAGCTACTGCAGTGCTATTTTCAAATGTGCTGATAAATAGCGGCCACTCCTCAGGATCGCCGCTGAACATAGGCAGTTGTTTTGGTATAGATTGCCTTGCTGCTAGTTGCGTAGCTGTTGGCCCATTGTTGAGTAAACTAAAGGTGTTCGACGAGATAGATTCCGAAGATTGCGATAAAATTTTATATTTATTTTCCAGGTACTGTTGCTGGATCTTGAACTCCTCCTCTAGTCGCTCAAGCTGCAGATTTCGTTGACTTACTGGTGAACTATGATTTTGGCCAGTTGCATTTAGCATTGACTCAACGCCTCCCAGCGCATATACATTGTGATGCGTATTTATTACGCTTGGCGTCTTCGGATTCTCGGAGATTGGTAATGATACGAAATTCATTGGATTGGTGAACGCTGCTGTACCGGGAAAAGTTTGCGAAACCGTTGAAGTACTCTGTACGACCGGAATTGGTCTTCGTACACATTGAGTAGTCTGCCCAGGTGTCATTGCATGCGCTTCGGTAAATATCTGGTCACCATATAAATTAGCAGTTGCGATCGGTTCGGTCACTGAAAAATTGTTCAGGACGATCCACTGTTGTTCCTCCAATATTGGTCGTAGGCGATGATGAAGAGATGGGTCTTGTAAGTCTTGCCGATGCACTGTGTTCACAAGCGTCACAGCTCCAACTTACTTCAGCTATGCAGCTATCGACTCCGACATAGGTAAAATGGAACCATCCATCACACGTGTCACATTGGACCATATTATCGTCGTCCACGGCATTACACTCTTTGCAATTATTCGTCATAGTAAAATATTTGACTTCACGTTGCAAAAGTATTTCGAGTACAAAATTTTAAAAGAATTGTTGTTTGCGATTGCAGTTTTTAATAAAACACAATTTTTCTAGTAT